TCTATCTATCTATCTATCTATCTATCTATCTATCTATCTATCTATCATCTATCATCTATCATCTATCATCTATGTATCATCTTTTTGAGAAAAGGGTCTTGCTACATAGCCCAGATTGGCCTTAAAATCATGTTCCTCCTGCCTCAGGTTTATAGGACCAGTTATTGTTCCTTATAACTGCATGAACTATCTTAACTTAAAAAACAACCCCTTAATTATAAGAAATTATAAGAAGGGAAGAGGGGATCCCATTAGAGGCACACCTCTTGGATATTGTTCTTTTAGCTCATAGCCCATAAGGAAGGTGCACCTGGAACCATTTCTTTCTTGTCCTGGGTCTGGTGAAACTGAGCCTGGTGGCACGTGCTTTCCTTTGGAGAGTGTCTAGGCCGAAAGGGGCTAAGGCCACACTTTCCTATCCCAGCCCAGTGCTATGGAGGAGGCCTCAGAAACTTCCGTATTTATCCTCTTTGCTCCTGGTCAAAATGAAGTCACTTAGTTATTGAAAGCTGATTGGGGAAGAAGGCCCTTTTACATATATTTCTGGAGAGATGGCTCAGCAGTTAAGAGCACTAATTGCTCTTGCAGAGGACCCAGGTTTGATTCCCAGCACCCACATGGCGGCTACGAACGGTCCTTAACTCCAGTTCCAGGGGAATTCGAAGCCCTCTTCTGACCTCCGTGGCATCGCATGACACGGGTGCACTCACATACATGCAGGTAATACACTCATACACATAAAATAAAAAATAATAAATAAAATATTTTAAAAAGTTATCAATTTACAATTTAATACATCAACCATTTATTCTAGATCCTTTTTCTGATTAATAATGTGGTTTGTTTGAGGGGTCTTGGGGTCAAAATTGGCAGGAAATCAGAGCAGTGCACTGGCCAACTGAATGTTCATTAAAAAATTATTTGTATCTGTGTACTGTATGTTTGCATGATGTTTTAATACATGTTTGTGTGCAGGTGTGCATGCAGAGGCCAGAGCAGGAGATTGAGGGTCCTACTCTATCATTCTGTCCCTTATGCTTTTGACATAGGGTCTCTCAGTTAACCTGGAGAATAGCTGGGGGCCAGTAAGACCAGCAAGCCTCCTGTGTCTGCCCGGCACAGTGCTGGGGTTACAGGTGCAAGTGGCCATGTCTGGCTTTTCATGTGGGTGCTGGAATCCAAACTTGGATCCTTTCTTGACAGCAAGTGCTCTTATACCCACTGAGCCATCTCTCCAGATGCTAAGGGGAACTTCTCACGTCCTTCTTTGTTAAATGTGCTCATGTGGTGTCTCAGGCCACTTCCTTTACTAAAAATACCTATCCCAGGGCTGCAGAGACGGCTCTGTGAGTAAAGTGCTTGCTGCACAACCACAGAGACCTGTGTTCAATCTCCACACTTACACAAAAAGTCAACATGGCAATGCGCATCTGTAATCCTAGCACTAGGGAGGTGGAAACAGGGATCTCTGGGGCTTGCTGGCCAATCAATGTAGTTGAATTGGTGAGTTGCAGGTTTAGTGAGATGCCTTGTCACAAAAAATAAGCTGGTGAAATGGCTCAGCAATTAAAGGCACTTGCACCAAGTCTGATGATCTGAGTTCGATCCCAAGACCCACATGGTAGAGGGAGAGAACGGACACATGCAAGTTGCCCTCTGACCTCCACATGTGTCATGGCATGTGCACCACAGTGTCCACCTCTTGGTTACCTTCTCAAGCAAACCCCTTCCCCTAACTAGCCCCCCAACACGTTAGTCTCTAATTTAGGGGTTCTCAAACCCTTCGGTATACTTGAAAATTACTGAGGGCCTTAATGGGTTTTAGCTTATATGAGTTTATGTAGAATTAGGTATTGTCTAAATTAAAACTAAAAATTTAAAAGTTCAGGGGTTCACTTAAAAAGAATAACAAACTCCATTATAGGTTAACATAAATCATGTTGTTAATAAGAAATAACTAAAATTTTCAAAACAAAATGAGGTGTAAGAGCACTTTAAAAAAATTAGTTTTGAAAGTCTGGTTCTAGCTCAGTCTGTTGTGAGGATATGTTATGGTTTTTTTATAGAACTCCATGGGACCACATGTGACAGACTGATGCAGCATCAGTATGAAAAAGCTTTGCTTGGGGACCGAAGGGATGGCTCAGTGGTTAAGAGCACTGGTTGCTCTGACAGAGGACCCGGGTTTGATTCCCAGCACCCATATGGCGGCTAATAACCATCTGTAACTCCAGTTCTAGGGGAAGCCAGCGTCCCCTTCTGACCTCCATGGACATTGCATGACATGGATGCACTTAACACATGCAGGCCATATACTCCTACACATAAAACAATAATAATAATAAATAAAATTAAATAGTTTTTGCTCTTGCAGATCCCTTGAAAGAGTCTTGGAGACCCCTATACCCTACTGACCTCCCATTTAAGACACACTATGATGGCATGATCTAAGGGTTTTGATGATGGTAGTGGCACTCTCTGGAGGTCTAGGAGGCAGTGGTCGCCTCCTCCTGCCTTCCCACTGTGCCTTTTTTGGCTGTTGTTAATGTCTGTTAACCCATGAGGCTGTGAGTGACTTGAAATAAGATACTCAACTTTATTCATCTGTGCTGTCAGGATCTCACTCGTCATCTGCTCCAAAGTATGTAGAAGATACAATTGTTATTTTCATTATCTTTAAGGCAGGGTCTCATTATGTTGCCCAGACTGGTCATGAATCCTAGGCTCAAGTGATCCTCTTGCCTTGGCCTCCTGGGACTCCAGGTGTGTGTGTGTGTGTGTGTGTGTGTGTGTGTGTGTGTGTGTGTGTGTGTGTGTGCGTGGGGCTATGAGTGCACTACTGGCTTAAAGCAATTATGATGCTTTCACTTGGTTTTTTCAGACCGAGTTTTACTTTGTACTCAGGCTAGCCGGGAACCGGCAGCTCTCCTTTTACCTCAGTCTTCCAAGTGCTGTGATTACAGGCATGTGCTACTAAGCCGGGCCTCGAACCTCACGTTTCATTAAGATTTTTAATTATAAAAGCAATATAACCATATTGTAGCTATTATTATAGAAAATAGACACAAAAAAATCACTCCTAATCCTGTATCATTTCTTGAGTGTATCAGTTTTGGACAAAATGAATGTAGTTCTCTCCCCCGCCCATCTCTTTCTTTGAGACAGGGTCTCCCCGTAGCCCCAGCTGGCCTGGAACTCACTATGTAGACCAGGTTGGCCTTAGAACTCACAGAGATCCACCTGCCTCTGCGTCCCGAGGGCTGGGATTAAAGCCATGCGCCACTATGCTTGGCCCTGTCTCTTTTTTGAGACAGAGTCTCATGTATCCCAGGCTGGCCTCAAACTTACTATGTAGCTGAGAATGACCTTGAACTTCTCTGATCCTCCGACCTCCAGGGTCTGAGTGTTGGGATTACTTGCCTGTGCCACCATGCTGGGTTTGTTCTATGCTTGGGCTGGAATCCAGAGCATCATGCCTGCTAGGTAAGCAGTCTCCCAACTGAGCCATATCCCCAGCTCTCAGATGCAGTTTTCTATATCTATCATTCCATTATATTTTTAAGTGAACACCATAATTCTGAATATTTCCTTCTCCCAACTACGGGTGAGTTTTCCATTTCTGACATTTATGGCTATCAAAAAGTTGACTGGATAAACACAATTCACCTGCTAAATATTATTAGTACATTTTGATACATCCACTTTTTTTTTGAGTTAGTTTTGTATGTGTATCTGTGTATATGTGCACATGAGTGCAGGTGCCCTCCAAGGCCAGAAGGCACCACTGGATTCCCCTGGAGCAGGAGTTTCTTTCTGGTGGTTGTGAGTCCCCAAGCATGGATGCTGAACTGAACCCAGGGCTTCTGCAAAATCAGTATGTGCTCTTATCCCCTGAGCCATCTCTCCAGCCCCCATCATTCACTTTTTTGTTATTGTAATAAATAGTGATTGGTGAAGAATACCTTCATACACCAAGCACGTTTTTTGTTTTTTTTTTCATTTGGTGTTATTTCTTTAGAATTGATTCTCAGAAGTAAGATTACTGGGTCAAAAGATGCAGACATTTTTATGGCTTTTAACACATACTGTAAAATTGCTTTTCGAAAGGGTTATACTAATTTACAACGCGCCAGCACTTCCAAGAACACGTTTCAGCACCCAAATCGTCAACATAGGTGCTATTAAGAATGTTAATCGATAAAATATTATACCCTAGTTGTTAAAATTCCACATTTTTTGAGGCTCATAAAATTAAAGTTTGTTGAGGAACGAGTGTACAATACAAAACATTCTTTTGGGATATCTTTATTTCTGGAACAACCTAAGAAATTCTCAGTGGTGAACACCAGAAAAAGAACACGTTAGGGTTGGCACAGAATTCACTCTGAGTCAATCTTAACGCCGAAACACTCGATCGACTTTTCACTGGTTTTACCAGTTTTCAGTGACAGAAGAAAAGGGGGAAAATTGTCGAGGACTCAAACGTTTTGACATAAAACCGTGCAAGTTTAAGAACGCCTTGCATTCAGCCGTTCGCCCACCTCCCTTCCTCCTTCCCTTCCTCTCTCCTCTCCGCTGTCCACGTGCAGAAGTCTTGCACGTCTCTGGAGAGCATCGCTGCACCGGGCATGCTGCACCGTGCCTGCTACACCGGGCATGTAGCACCGGGCACGCTGCACGGTGCAGCTGTCCTGGCAGGGGCTGGTGTGCGCGGGGCGTGCTCGTCCACATGTGGACCGGCTTGCAGGGCAGCTGCAGCTACACTTGGCCGGGTGATCCGCGGTCGTGAGGGGCCCCGGCCGCACTCCGCGTAGGTGCAGCGGGCGCCCGTACCGGAGTCCGGGGAGGACGGTGAGGAAACTCGCTGCACCCCGGAACCGGGGCCGGCACGCCGAGGTCTAGCGTTCCCCGGGCTGGGCGGAGCGGCCTCAGCCTGGGACGAGGCACCTATGACTCATCTGCTCCGCCGGTCACATGGGCAACGTGACCAAAATAAAGTTTCAGTATTTTAAGCCGCTGGAAAAGGGGACAACGGAGCACACGGGGGCGGGAGCGGAAGGCGGGCGCAGGCGGCTGTGGGGACGTGGCGCTGGCCGGGAGGGCGGGGCCTGCCTGGGGGCGGAGCCAGCCGGGCGGGAAAGGGCGGGACCGTCCTGAGAGGCGGGGCCTGACGGGACGCGCGCCCCTCCCCCGCGGTAGGCAGCGACGCCCGGATTCGTGGCTCTGGGGCCCGGGAGCGGCGGCCTCATCGCCTCGGCGCCTCGCCGCGGCGCAACCCCCACGTTCGCTCCCCGGGCGCGCCGGGCCGCGGGATCCCCGAGATCCCGGCGCGTCTTCCACAGCCCCCGGGACCCCCACGCGCCGGCAGCGGCTTCCCCGGGAACGTCCTTCAGCCCCGGGAGCACGCGGGAAAAGCCCCAGCGCGCCAATGAGCGAGCGCCTTCCTCATGACGGTCACGCTCGGGGGCGGGGCTTCCCACCGCCGTTCCCGAGTTCCGGGAACCCCCTTTGATTGGTCTGGACGGCTTGGGAAACACGGCCGTGACGCCCAATCAAAACACCACGTCTCGGCCTCGAGGAAATATTCCGCGTCCGCCCCGTCCTGATTGGGTCGCCCTTCCGGGGTCGGGCTACTGGGGAGCTTTGTTTAGGTCCGGAGGGCGGGCTTTCCTGGGAGTGGGCGGGGCGGGGGCGGGGGTTCCTGACCAATTAGCTCAGTCCGTGGGGTGGCGACCAGCCAATGGAATGGCCGGATGGGACGCTCCTCCCGGAGAGTAGTGAGACCCCTGCCGCGCGTCGATTGGTGGCGGCGGCGATGAGTGGCAGTCACGCCGCCCAATCGGCACTGTGCGTGGGCCGCGGGGCGGGGCCAGGGCGGGTGCGCGGCGGCGGCGGGG